GCCGTCCCAACTTGGATGGTTTTGAAATTAATAGATTTAATGGTTGAAGTATTTCACTAATTATGCAGTTATTTTATTCATTGATTTGCAAGCTTTGTAGGACTACGGACCAAGCAGAATGAACTCTCATTCAGCTCATTGTTCTTTTCAATTGCCAGCTTACAGTCAAACATTAGGTACAATGGTGGTACATTAAGCATTAAACTAGATAACCAATTATGGAAAAGAAAAAAAAATGAAATTAAAAATAAATGTCTCATTTGGTGGGGGGTTATTACATCATTGCATCCGATCAAGCCTGATATATTCTCCATCAAGTTTATCTTTCTAACAAAAGTTTTATTGTTTACTTTGTAGGTAACACTGTTATCAAAGTGTATAACAATATTATATAACATTTTTATTGAATTAATGATCTTCAGTTTGGACCATCTATACGTACATTATTCTACCTAACTAGTATTTTAATTGAGAGTTAAATAATATACCAATAATTTTGCTAAAAATAATAATAATATACCAATAAGTCTTTTTATTATACCCAATCTAGCCCTATTGTTTTTATAAAATAAAAATAGTGGCATTTCCTAGTTTTTTTTTTCTTTCTAAAAATGAATCGTCCATTTCACATTTTCTAGGAAAAGACATAAAAATTATTTCACATGAATTTCTTTTCGTATACCAAAATACAGCCTTAGGGTTCCCCGGGAGAGAAAATATATGGATAAGGAGGAGTGAGAATGGAGGGTTTAATTGTAGAGTAATTGCTGCATATCGGTTAAGCCCTCCATTCTCCTTTTAGTGCAGATAGATAGAATATCGTTTATAATAATAATAATAATAAAACTCATTAAAAGACTCAATGAAGGACTCACACTTCTCACTAAGAGATGAAAAATTCAAATATTGGGTTTTATTCTAAATTTAAGGAGAGATTCGACTGTAAATTAGGATCCGTTTGATAACCATTTTGTTTTTTAATTTTTACTTTTCTACTTAACTTATGGGGAAAGTATGTGGAAGAAAAGAGTGAGGAAGAAGGTTGGTGCGAAGCAAGGAATGAAATAAAAAGGAAAGAATAAAAACAAAATATTTAAAATGAAAACAACTTTAAAATATTTTTTAGTTTCTAATTTTTAACTTTCATTTTGTGTCTATTTTTTTATACATTTTTCTACGTCTTCCTCACTACTCTTCTTTCTGTTCTATATCCGTTTGATTTTCCATCGTTTCCACAATAACATAAACACTAAAAACGGGGAAATGAAATAGTCATGGAAAAAAACCCTAGTTATCCTTTTTGTTTCTGTAGACATCGAAATTGCGGTGAAATAAATGTTCACCAACGCATTAAAATTTTGACGTGTCAAGGCATACATGGCATATGCCACGTGTCATATAAATTGTACACATGGTGTGTGACTCAACAAAATAAAAAGAAATACCCTTGGAGGATTACACAAGTTTTTCTTCTCATTTTGGGCAATGACAAGGCAAGCACATTTCAATCCATTGAAGATCAAAACAAGGTTTTCTTCTCATTTTGGGCAATGACAAAGCATGCACATATCAAGTTTAAAATGATATTAAGTGGAAAATTAGGCCATAAAATTACCACTTCAAGTAAAATTGTATTAAGTGGGAAATTAGGCAATGGTGCTTGGAAAAGAAAAAAATATTTTGTGGTGGTGATTCATTCTCAAAGCCTATAAATAGGCTTCTACATCAAGGTATCATAAACCAATTCACAAATACATTTCTCTACTCCCAAAATGGAAGAGAATACTCCCCACACATCCAAAATCCTTGAAGCTTTGAAACTCTAAAGCTTTCAAGCATCCAACCTCCCAAATTCAAGCAAATCCTGAAGGATCAAGAAAGCCCTCTTCGTTCTTCGTCAAATCCTCCTTCAAGATCAAGCCCTAACGGCCCTTGAAGAAATTTCTCCTTCAAGATTAAGCCCCAACGGCCCTTGAAGAACTTCCACCAATTCAAGATCAAGCCTCGACGGCCCTTGAAGAAAGTGTTCAACAAATCCACACAACTGTTCATCCTAAGATCAAACCCCGACGGCCCTTTTGGTTCAACAACATCATCAAATCCACATAACTGTTCATTCTAAGATCAAGCCCCAACGACCCTTTGGATCAACAACATCAATAAATCCACACAACTGTTCATCCCAAGATCAAGCCCCGACGGCCCTTGGATCAACAATCATCCGTTCTTCAAGATCAAGCCCAAAAGCCCTTGAAGATCCGTTCATCACCGTTATTCAAGATCAAACCTTAACGGCCCTTGAAGAAACACTCATCCTCAAGATCAAGCCCCAACGGCTCCTTGAAGATCCGCTCAAATCCACCTTCAAAGATCAAGCCCACATCCCTTTGAAGAAACTTCCAACAGTTCATCCAAGATCAAGCCTCGACGGCCCTTGGATCAACGAAACATCCACAAATCAACACCTTACGGAGATCGAATCAGAGGATCAAATTTGAGAGAGATTGTAACCCAAAATCATCAAACACAAATATTATTTTGTGCACGTTGTTCTTATCTCTTTCGTTTCAGGAATTTTCCGTGTTCACAGTTTCGTTCGAAAAACCCTGGTTATCCAAACTTGCAAACTCCATTCGTGTGGAATTAGGGCATGTTCAGGCGCGTGCGTGAAGTTATGAAATTGTGTGCCAAGTTTCCCTTTCCCCCATCTCTAATCTCTATGGGTTTTTAATTTGTTGTTTCACGATCGTTCAAATTAACATTGGATTTCTCTGTTTACCTCAATCTTTTGAAGAAGTAAAATTCCAAATCTTTAAACCCCACTATCTATTTGTTAATTACTTCTTAAGGAATGAATAAGACTTGATTATTTTATTTTTATTTTCTTAATATATACCGACAAGCGCACGATAAGTAGAGAATTGTTAGGCCATCTCCAACCGAAGGGTCCAGAGGGCCAGAGGGCCGAAAATAGCCCTAAAACTGTCTCCAACCGAGGGCTAGGCCAGAGGGCTCGGGAATCTGGGAGGGCCCCACGGGATCGGAGAGGGCTGGAGGGCTGGTTGCTTTCGGCCAGCCAGCCAGCCCCGGGCTGGCTATTTTTTTTTTTTAATGTTTCTTATTTCTGTCGGTTATAACCGACAGAAATAATATAATATATATTATTTCTGTCGGTTACAACCGACAGAAATAACATTTTGAATTCAAACTTCCAACGGCTAGCGCCACTAGCCGTTGTAAATCCTTTTTTTTTATGAATTTAAACCTTTTTTTTTATGAATTTAAACCTTTTTTTTTCTTTTTTTTTCTATAACTTCCTATAACTTCTATTTTACAAAATTTGTTTCAATTTTTTTTTAATTCTATTTTTTTCCTATAACTTATATTTTACAAAATTTGGTTCATATTTTTTTCCTATAACTTATATTTTACAAAATTTGGTTCATATTTTTTTCATATAACTTCTATTTTACAAAATTTGTTTCATATTTTTTTTTTAAATTCCATTTTTTCCTATAACTTCTATTTCACAAAATTTGTTTCATATTTTTTTTAAATTCTAATTTTTTTCCTATAACTTCCTAAGCCATTATACAACATTAAATTAAATTAAGTAACATGAAACAACATTAAACAATATGAAACAACATTAAATAACATTAACCGACATAAAAATTATACAACACTAACCAACATGATTTTTAAATAAAATTAAGTTGTAGTTTTTAAATAATAAATTATGTTTGGCCCTATGGCCCTTTGGCCCTCGGTTGGAGTCGGTTTTTTTTTACAGGGCTAAAACGAGCCCTTTGGCCCTCTGGCCCTCGGTTGGAGACGGAGGCAAATATGGCCATGTACTGTTCATTAAAATATTAATATCTTGGAGAATCTTGGAGGGCCAGAGGGCTAAAACGAGCCCTCTGGCCAGCCATCGGTTGGAGATGGCCTTAGTCTTTTTTTATGTGTTGCACTTGAACGGCCATATTATTTTTGTGCAGTAAGTACATACAAAGATTAACAAAGCATAAAAATCGTTGAAAATCGTTGCCCTAAGCAGAGATGCCAATGGTTAGTTAATTGTACGCATGTTTGGTTTGTGCATAAACATTATGGATTTGGTCCTTAATCTTTCACATTCATATAACTGAAAATTACCCTTGAACAGTACAGTGCATGGATATGGCTTTCTGTATTTTATAAAGACACAAATTAGATTCTTTTCTCTATCACTATAGTAGGTGGTTTAATCTAGTTTATGATCCCATACACTACGCATTAATTCAGATGCAACCTTAACCCAAGATCGGATCATGGCTAGCTGTCAAAAGACTCAAAACCTGAATAATTAAATAGAATTGGTCTCCACATTATTAAAAAGAAAATTAAAAAAAAAATTCCTTCCTCTTTTTATGGAAAAATATTTTATGTGGTATGATATTCAGATATTGTTATCTGCACATGAATTATAAGGGGTTGGTTGCGATTACATTTGTTGAACAGTTAGTAACCTTCAATTGTCACACAATAAGTCAACAATATATATCAAGTAAAACTCGACGAAGATGATTCACTTGTTGAGGAATTAAAAAACAATTATAGAACTCCAACACCTGCATTTTTGCACTATCATAAAAACTCGAATGCAACCCTGGACTAGTTGTTTTTTGGTACGGAGATAATAATCAAACATGGATCGTATTATATGAACAAAGGGAAAAAAAATTATATTAAGATTGGTGTTGTTCTGGGCAAGAAGCACCAGCTTTCGATCCATCAACATATTTAACACAAATCTTTGGTGTTCTGTAAGACTTTGTCTGGAATATCTTGTTCACTGGCCTACCTTGGCCCATGTATTAGGATTTTCGTTTGGTTTTTATCATATATGACTCTTCTCTGGACCCCACAAATTTGATCTTCTTCCATGTTACCATTCAAATATATATAAACGTAAAATACAGAATCAAACAATACTATGTATGAATAATATTTAACAAAATTTTAACTCTCTCTCTCTCTCTCTCTCTCTCTCTCTCTCTCTCTCTCTCTCTGTAGATATGAATATTGTGTACACCAAGACATTGGTATATTAGTTTACCTTCTTTTGCCATGCCTCCTAACTTCACAGCCTGTCAAGCCTGAATTATTAACATGACCAAGAACATGATTAAGAATTGTTTAATTTAGTGAGAGGAGTGAGGAAGGGTGAGGTTTGTTGCTTTGTATTTTCTCTAAACCTAGTGGGGAGCTTGGAAATTAATATTGGCCTGCCTTGCCCTGCCAAAGAGATTTGCTGGTGTAGAGGTGTCGAAGAATCTTCACCCAATTCACACAGCAGGAGGGGGAGGGCTTAACTATTGCTAGCTGCACTCCTTAGATTGCTCTGTTCACTCGACTCCGATTAGTACGGATGATCAAATGACTGATGATATTGATGGATGCTTATCTTAATTCTCTACTAATTGGGTTGTTTTGGCTTACCAGTATCATAGGATGATTGGCATGAAGAAGCAAACCTTTCAATGATCCTCACACTAGACGTCCTCCACTTCTGCTCTTTCTTTTTCAGGTACAAAATATAACTCAACTATGTATGTTTAGTAAGCCTAGATGTTGATGCTCTTGCTTCTTTTTCTTCTTTTTCAAAAATTATCCAATTTTGGAAGTTTTGGTCTTCTGGGAAATCATAATTCTTGAAATTTATTAGTTGGTTTCGAGTATCAGTACAGATATAGTCTCTATATCTATATATGCCAAATCAGATAAAGGTGAAAGAGATCCTTTTTTATTTTCCATACAAATTCAACAGTTCTTAATTGTAAATTGCAATAGATCCTTTTTAGTTTCTATTTCATGCAATATTTACCTTGGTTTTGTTTATGCTGTCAAAATCTTGTTGTCTGATTACATAGTACTGTAGATTTAGCATATATATATAGCTTCAAAAGAAACAAGAAGAGGTGGGCACTTGTGGAGAGCAAATTCACAAAAATGAAGGCTACTGATGACACCAGCAGAAATATTGTACTGACAAAGAAAAAATAGAGTAGACAACCCACATTCCATATCAGGTCTCACTATTTGCCGGCACCCCACCTTTCCTTTTTCATCCTTTCTGTGTCTGGTAACTTTCGGATTACGCACTTTCGGAGCTGCTGTGACAATTCTGGCCCATTCTTTTGTGTTCATCCTTCATCCAACACCTTAAAATGTCCCTTTCATGATATATTGTTTCATGTAGGGAACTAGAGTCCTATTCCCAAATGATACTTGAATTTGTACACCAAAAGGGGGGACATGGATCCTCTCCGGATCCATGCATTCTAATCATAGGGATCCACCAATCCGAGCCATTGAAATTTGATCCAACTGCTAAAATTATTATAACTTTTAAAGTGGACCCCTGTTTGTAGCCGTTTGATCAAATTTCAATGGCCCGGATTGATAGATTCCTAGGATTAGGATGTGTGGATCCGGAGAGGATCCATGTCCCAAAAAGGGAACCAATAAAATCATGGAGCACAAATATAGTATATAAAGCCTTCTGTCAGTGAATTTTGAGAGATAGATTTCCACTACCTTGATGGGTTAGATTGGCTCACTTGCATTTGGGATTGAGGATAATTCAAAAATAAAATAATCACACCAATTCAATTATTCCTTGGTATTCAGATGTGGTAGGATAATTGTAGACCTGGTGTCCAACTAGAATCTGTTTCCACCTTCAGTCAGTGGGTTTATGTATCACACCTACTCCACTCAAGTCCGAAAAAGTACTTTCTTTTTTCTAAATTTTGATTTTTTACTCTTCATTAAACTCGAACTTTAATCTCATAAGAACTGTTTGGAAAAAAAGAATTACTGTGGCAGATCTCGTAATACAATAGCAACAGTTGTGTGTGTTTCCTCAAAATATACGTTTCTCTGTAGTTACCAACATTTTTTAACTGGTATATTACTTCAGGAATGGTATATTACTTCAGAAATGGGAACAAAAATTGAATATATGATCAATATATTAGGAAGCTCACAAAATAGCAGCAGCTTAACGGTGCATCGGGTGGATGACTGGGACTATTTTCAGAAAACTGGGCTGAAGGAGAAGTATCAAAAGGCTAGAGTTGAGGACGCACTTCGGAACTTGACGGACAAGATGCTTGACAAGCACAGCATGGATATCATCAAGAAGACAATGCAGATGCATGAAGATACCTTTAAATACCAGGTTTGATCAACTTTAGTGCATGTATGAGCTCGAATTGTAGTCGAACATGTTCCATGAAGCATGAGTTCTTTGGGTCTCATGGAAATCCAATATATTCAGCTTGGCGAATTTGATTTTGTAGCTAGTCAGTCACCAACATCTAAATTTCTCATCCAACAATACCTTTCTGGATAAGCAAACCAGTCAAAATACTCCAAGAAAAAAAATCAATTACAGCCTTCTTGCTTATTAGATCCTAAGTCTTATGCTTGTCAGATCAGATCCTAAGTCCTAACCAAAAACCAAAATTGCAGATTCGAGAGCTACACCGTCTGTACAGTGTACAAAAGATGCTAATGGAAGAACTGAAGAAAGAGATTAAACAAAATAGACTTTGGGGTCCAATAACTAGTAGTGCAGATCACATTAACCAATCCCAGTTGATTAACTGGCAGCACTCGATAACTCAAACTTCTTCAGGATATAATTTCCACCTTCAGAGATTGAGGGATGATCCAAACTCTAGAGAGCGTAGTGGAAGTTGCTCAGGAGACATTCAGAGAGTGTCAAGGGGATTTGACCTTGAATGGCCTGCCGAGGAAGACATCTCAACAAGATTCAGTACAATTGACCAATTACAAGCAGGACCAAGCTCTCACATGTCCCTCAAAAGTGAAAGTATAAGTGCAGCTAGTTATGATGAAGATAGTCAAGTGGAGCTTTCATTAAGCATCGGAAGTAACAAGAACAGGAAGAGATCAAAACCTTACCAGCCTCAGTTAGGATGTTCGGAACTGATCGAGAAAGCAAAAGAACTCGATACGCCGGCCTCATTCAAATCAGATAGAGGAGAAGATTGCAGTTATCCCACAACTCCCATGAGCAGCTCTAGTGCAACATGTGACCAAGAAAGAAAGCGGCCACATTGGCTCTTCCATGGTTTAAAGCTCAAATAGAACTAATACTTCAGCTTTCGTGGATGTTTCTTCGAAAATCTACTTGCTGTTCATTAGTGAAATTCTAATAAAAATTGTCACTTTAATAAATAGACAATCGATAAACTGTTGTCATCATGCATAACATTGGTATATATAAGAAATTTTCGAACGTTGGTTGCTCTCCATATTTCAGTGCATTGGTTCATTATTTTCGTTGGCAATTGACTGAATTTGAAGCGTAAGAAAGTACGTGATCATTATGACTAACTCATGCAAGAACTATTGAAAGTTTACTGTAGTTAATTTCGAAAGAGATGCATCACAGATAAGACAACAAGAAAATTGTAAATTACAATGGTTAAATACTATTGTACAAAGACTCTTGCAATCTCAATTTTCGGTAAATACATGGACAAATTAAGAGTAAGTTGAACTCAAATTTGTCACCAGGTATTTGTCGATTACTAATGCACATAATGCATTGCTTTGTTGTTGCTCTTATAGTTCCTTATCCATCATAAGGTTCATAACCTCCACATCCACCAAAAGACCGAGACAGGGAAGAAACTATATAAAAAGCATAGTAGTACTGTTTGGACTTTGAATTTTATCTCCCAAATCACATTTTTATTTGAATTCCTTGTCTTAAACTGGTTCCTTGGCCCCATTAACCATTCTTCTAATGAGAATCATAGGAGCGTAGTTGCCTATACTATTTCTTTGGAACCATTCGATACTGGTACCCTAATGACATGAAACATGAAACAATAGAGGGCGTGCTTGGCCAAAAGCTAGCGGATGGTTGCAAGTGCATACTTTCTCTGTGAGAAACTCTTTTGAAACCAATATATTGTACACCATCCGTCCATCAGATAGTGAGAGTCTCTCATATTGTTCATTGATTGTCTATTTTTTTCCTGATATAGCTGCATTTTGGAATTCCTCTTTAGCATTTTCAATACCACAAAAATGATCTTCTTTGATATATGGTATGATTGAATTACACTTAGTGCACGCAGTCTCAATCTTTCGCGCTGCCGTCCTAATCCGTCTTTCGGTTTTCAACTTCAAGCCGGATAGTCACCATTTAAAATATTAGGGTGCCGCAGGCCAAAGTGTTTTGCTTTGTTGTGCTTCCTCCATTCCTTCTTGTAACTCTTGAAAACAAAAGGAACAAGAAGATTTAATGTTGTTAGTAAATGCCACTGCAAGCTAGCTCGTATGCGTCCAACTGTATAATTCCAACCTAGTCATTTCCTTGAAAACAATTAAGCTCCACAACCTCGTCTACTTCTACAACAATTCCAAAAATATGTTATTTCCTTGGTCACATCTATCTATATCTCAGGCCTATTCTATCCAAGTTCAATACATTAGGTCCAGTTTCATATTCAGATGAGCTGTGAAATGTAACATGCTTGATACTTGAGAAAATAAAATGGAAAATTGACATGCAACATCTTTTGATATACTTAATTATTCAATCTCCATGGGCTTATAGTGAAACTGATCGTAATACCATCCCTTTATGATTGTATTAATTGCAAGGTGAGGAATCCTATCCAATTTACTAGAAATAAAGGCACCAGACATGAGGAATAACACACACATAATTCTCCAAGCCCTTCTCCGTCTCTCTTTGCCGCATCCTCTCGCTCCATTCAGTAAAATAGGCAACACCATTACCACTTAGTGGATAGTAACCCTGATTTTCATCTTTTTGAAAATTTAATTATATAACAAATATTCTAAAATGATTTTCCAACTTAAATGTTGTGTTCATTCCAAGTGCGAATATATGGTTAGTATAATGGCACAAGTAAGGGTGTCGAACCACAAGGACTAATTGGACCCCTATAAATTACTAGCTTTGAAAAAACCCTAACTAAACAATGAAAGTAACAGATTGAATGTAGTTTTTGTGCTGTAAACTAAAATAACTTGAAACGCAAGAAAAATGTAACAACGAATTATATGTTGATTGAGAAACAATGAGGATGGGACCAGAGATTTCACTTCCCCATTACAAAACCAATTCCATGTTTATAAGGTATTAAGCCATATTCAATTACCAACCTGTTTACAGAGTTCGTTTTACATATATATGTATGATCAGCCATACGATGTGTGATTTGATCAAACTCTCCTAATCAACACCTATATGCAACTTCGGCTCCAAATTGAGAGACAATCGCATGCAAGAAAACGTCAAAGAACCAAAGAAAATACACTGCAAGATGTTTGCATAGCATTCTCCTCGTTCATTCACATATCCACCAAAAAAATTAAGAATGATGTATACTATAACCTTGATCAAATAATCTACAAGCAACCTTAATGTAATTAATCATTAAAATTAACAAAAAATTAACAATAGATTCAGTGAATAAAACAACAGACAGATTGATGAATTGAATACTTTAACTTAAAAACATGGACCAATTTTGCAAGGCTATATCGAAATCCCTAGCTATGAATTTAGTTACACATCATGTTTACAGAGATTAAATTGGAAATGCACAATGTTGATGCACAAAACCGGAGGGGTCTTGGAACAACGTAAATCCGACCGTGAATCTGCAAGAAACTAAATAGCACAAAATGTATCGTGGTTCACCCCAAGGTTTGAGCTACGTCCACACTAATTATTGTATTTCTCTGAGATGTTGCAGAGGGAGAGAGAGCTTCTTTGTTATCCCGTGGGATGAGAGCTTTGAGAGGATGAGGGGGCTTAAGAAATGGCCTCCCCTAATTGTGAGGGTGAGGAGTCCCTTTTATAGAATAAGGGCTCCTCACTTATTAGATATTTGCCCATTCCTTTATTACATAATTACTTTTAAGTCCTCTGAGTATTTATACGAGATCTAAATACAGAGGCTATAAGTATGGTATAAACAGTAGTCCCCCAAGTCTTCAGTCAAGAGAGCCTTTTGGCTGGAGACTTGAAATTCAGTCCATGTGTGGGCTGAAGTAACTAGATGTCGTCTAGAACTGATACTCAATATGAGGCGGTGCTCAATGTGAAATGATACTCAACTAGAAGTAACACATATTGCGAGGTTGCTCGGCTTGTGGCTTATATTGCCTTGGTTGGCTCGACTTGTGGCGTTGAAGGTGAGGGAGTCCCTTTTATAGAATAAGGGCTCGCTCCTCAATACATAAGTGATGGGCTAAGAGTTGATGCTCGCGGTAAGACGGTTGCTCAGCAGGCGGCGATGCTCTCTAATGATGGTGAAGAAGTCCCTTTTATAAAATAAGGGATCGCTCCTCAGTACATGAATAATGGGTTAGGAGTGATGCTCGCGGCGAGGCGGTTGCTCAGCTGGTGGGGATGCTCTCTAATGATGGTGGGGGAGTCCTTTTTATAAAATAAGGGATCGCTCCTCAGTACATGAATAATGGGTGCTCTCTAATGAAAGTGAGGGAGTCTCTTTTATATAATAAAGGCTCGCTCCTCAATACATGAATAATGGGTGCTCTCTAATGAAAGTGAGGGAGTTCCTTTTATAGAATAAGGGCTCGCTCCTCAATACATAAATAATGGGCTGAGTCCCCCAAGTATTTTTCATGAGGCCCAGTTGAGGCCCAATATATGGTACCTAATGTAGTCCCCCAAGTCTTCGGTCAATAGAGTCAGTTGGCTGGAGACTTCAAATTGAATCCATGTATGGGCCGAAGTGGCGGTTGTTGGGATGCAACATTTGTATACCCTGCACTAAAGCTTTGTAGGTGAAGCTTTGCAAGTGAAGCTTTTGAAGCTAGAGCTCTGTAAATGAAGCTTTTGAAGCTGGAGCTTTTGTAAATGAAGCTTTCGAAGCTAGAGCTCTGTAAATGAAGCTTTCAAAGCTAGAGTGTTGTAAATGAAGCTTTCGAAGCTAGAGCTTTGTAAATGAAGCTTTCGAAGCTGGAGCTTTTGTAAATGAAGCTTTTGAAGCTAGAACTTTGTAAATGAAGCTTTCGAAGCTAGAGCTCTGTAAATGAAGCTTTTGAAGCTAGATTGACATGAGTGATGCTCATGAATGTTATGTGGATTGACATGAGTGATGCTCATGGATGTTGACATGAGTGATGCTCATGATTGTTGACATGAATGATGGTCATGCATGTTTATGTATGATTGTCATGACTGATGCTCATGAATGTTTATGTATGAATGACATGAGTGATGCTCATGTATAATTTTGGAGTACTGGGCGTACTTTTGATCATCTAGTGGGTGATAATAGCGGCAGGTTGCCGAATAATTTTGGAGTACTAGGTGTACTTTTGATCACCTGGTTGGTGATAATAGCGGCAGGTTACCGAATAATTTTGGAGTACTGGGCTACTGGGCATATTTTTTATCACTTGGTTGGTGATAATAGCGGCAGGCTGCCGAATAATTTTTTGTAGTACTAGACGTACTTTTGATCACTTGGTTTGTGATAATAGAGGGTCTGGCTCTTTTGGGCATATGGGCCTTCGCCTTCTACATAACACTCCAGCCCATTATTTTGGGCTTGCTGTTTTTTTTTTAGTTACCCTCTGATGGGGTTTATACAGATGTCTCCGAAAGATAAGAAAAATAAATCACATCATTCTGGTAGGGTGTTTATTCCTTACTTTTGCTTTTCTCTTTTCCACCGCACCTTTCTTTTGCTTTTGTGTTTTCTCTGCAACTTTGAAGCTTGCCTCGCTTGAAACAACGAATAGAGGTGACAGGTTGCACCTCCCTCTTTTGCTTTTGTCGTTCTCTTTTCACTTTCTCAGAAAATAATTTCACGTGGCATTATCCCTTTGCTTTCTCACAGCCATGAAATCGCGAGCACAACTTTCTCCTTTTGCTTTCTTTAATTTTTCAATTAACCACTTTCCCCTCACACAGTCCATTTCCAGATCTCTACTTTCATCATTGGTTTTTTCTTGATTGATGTTCCTCTGCATATTTTGAGCTTGAGATCCATTGAGCACACGGAGGGCAACCACACAATCGCCAGCCTGACCCATCTGGACCAGAGCCCACGTCAGCAACCCTCTGCTCTTCGAGGCTAGCTTCTGCTCCTTGTGAGGAGGTAGGCGAGGAAGGAACGTAAATCCGAGCTTAGAAGTGCTGAAGTCAATCATGGACTCCAAAGAGGTAGCACAATATTTCTCCTCTCCTCTAATGGCTGGATTCTCACACTCTTGAATTGTACCCTTGATTA